ACGGGGATATTAGGATACGCATTCGGATTCCCTTGGGCTCCCCCTGGCCGGCTGGCTTCGCCAGCGGCGATGGCAGTAGCTTGTGGGGCATTCTGGATGGGACTTATCGACTCCGTCGATTTGGCACTCAGCCTTGAAGAGAATGCACCTCGCCCGGGCCTTGGCGCGACGCCTTCTCGCCCGTGAGGGTCGGGGGTTTGCTCGCGATCACCTATCGGAGCCCCTACTGTGGATACGTCTACCGACATTTCGGTTATCCCATCGGTACTTCTCCCCCTCATGACCCGATCGGCGATAGTTGAAGGAAGGATTCGGTCTTGAATAGGACCGACTCTATCTGTATCGTGTCCATCATGTTGTTCAACGCGCCCATCAGCGCTTCTCGAGATATCAGACACGATATTAGTCTTATCGTAGCTCTCTCCCGCAGCGACTGAATCGCGGGGCACGACTGAAATAGTTTCTTTTGTATCTAATGGCCCCGCGTCGACTGAGTCGCGCGTTTCGGCTGATAACCAGTGTTTCCTCTGAGAATCGGGGTAAAATGACAAAGGAATTAAGATCTCATGTTCACTCTGCTCAGGGAGAGCGGAGGCGGGATGAGACATCGATAAGACAGATATCCGTTCAGCTAAGCCACTCTATCAGTAGCAGAAAGGGAGGACGAAGGCCGAGGACGGACGACGACGAATCGCCCGCGCGCCCCAGCGCGCTCCTTTTCTCTCCTGCCAGCCGAGGTCGGCTGGTTTGAGCAGCTATACAGCTGCAGAAACGCAGCTTCAGTTCACGCGGACAGTGCATTGCGTGCAAGCTAAGTTAAGTTCTAATTGAGTATGAGGCGGATAGGAGCATATTTACTGGTCAGCAAGCGGTTCAAGATCAGCGCGTGCCAGCCTCACGGATGGCACCCACTACGTTGCAGCTTACTTGGTGAGGGCACGCGATCCATGTGTGGTAATATTATGTTGTTTATGGAAATGAGTGGACAGGTGCCTGAAGTTGTGCAACGTCTTGTTGCGCAGCTTAACCATGAGCCCGCAGGAGGTCGGCATCCTCTTGGGTTGCACCCAGCACCGCGCAGGATTTCTGGGCGCTGGTGGCGGCAAAAACTTCGTAGATGGGGACGCGATCAAGGTCTTGGTGGCCAATGCTTCATGCCCCGCGGGATTGGGCCCAGGCTGCTATCTCATAATGTACTAGCAACATGGGTGTGCACGACAATGCTGCGCTGCGGGGCTAGCTGGAATTCTATGAACAAGCGCCGTGGGACCCTTTGCATGACGCTTGCAAGCTTATAACTTTACCAGTGGATGTGCCACGTATGAGAGTGAGTAGGTATCAACGGCCAAGGTTCCTTCAGTAGGATGGTTTGCTCATGTGCACTCTTCTACCACAGCGTGGGGTAGTAGCAGGTTCTGCGAGTGCTACCTTTGAAGCGAAGATAACACCAATTCCCATGATTGACGTCGATGACAACAGCAGGAGCGAGCCCAGTTTGCTTCTCTTCATCTGGATGATCTCTCGCATCACGAACGGGGTGAATCAGTTGTGAGTGTGCTTCTTGAAGCAAGAAAGCCGCGTCCACCGTGTGGGGCACCGTCTACAGCGAGAACTCGGACTACCCCTGGCGATGCAGAGGGTCAATATGGTGACTTCCAGTGGGAGGATGCCTGATGGCGATGAGCATGTTGGGCAAGCTTGGTGGTCCTGCACAGCGCAGCTCGAGGAGTCTCGGGGCGGACTTCGCAGGGGGCAAACGTCGCGCCAATCCCGAAGAGCACGCGCCACGAGCACATGCGTGGAGAACGATGCTGTCAAAAAAAGGCTGGCCGACGTGAAGAGGACCAAGCAGGTCGTAAGACGAGGCTCGCGCTCGCGAATCTGGTTCCGACGGTTTTGCGCGGTGGAGAAGTCCACGCGCGCATGTCGCAAGCACAACGACCACGCGCGCCCGTCCTGGAGTCTATGGGCGTCTCTATGAAACCACTCCACTTAGATTCGGCCCGGGCGATGTCTGGAGCAACAGGCCCACTCCGTGCAAAAAGTAAGTATCTCTTCAGATATTGTGATTAGCGGTGGATGACTACGGCTTCGCGTCCAGACCTACAACTGCGACATGATGAGGTTCCTGCGCCGCCTGGTCTGACCAGGCTGTGGCAGGCTGCTAAACAAACCTTGAACCCTAGAGCGGTTTCGAATAACTGGTTTAAAGAAAGCAAGGGCCCTCTCAGCGACCTCCTCATCTGGTGTTGGGAGACTGGGTGGACGGGGCCTACATCCTTCCTGGACCTCGAGGGGGCGCCCCTTCATGTGCTGAAGTTGGCCCCTGCTTTAATTGCTGAGCGTTTTGAAACACGATATAAGAACAATGATATCCAGAGTCACGCTGAGTCAGGGTGCCACTCCTCGCCAGGGCCAGGTAGTGATCCGATTAAAGAACATGGTCTCTGGTGGGAGCTGGTGGCTAAAGTTACTAAAGCTCTAGCGTATAGACATGACCTTGAACCCAAGGAGGTCGCAACTGCCAAACAAGGTTTTGGAGGGGCGACCCCATCTGCCGTGTAACTAAGGTTACCCCTTCCCCCCGATTGTAAATTTGGCTGCGGGGTCCCCGGCACCGTGTCTCACATAATCTGGGAATGCTGCCGTGGCTCGGAAAAACAGGTCCGAGGTTTCTTTCTGAAGCTACCGTTTCACAGGCTCGGGAGGCAAGTTATGCATGCCCGCTGTTCAACAGGTGCTGGCTGGCACGTCTTCCAGCTGACCCACCAGCAGAGGGCCGGGATGTCATGCCATCTCGCGGTGGAGCCTGCGGGCCCCCCTTGTCCTTTGCACCGCCAGGCACACTTCATAGTGATGCTTACTGTCTGAGGCCAAACTTGGGGCAGTTGGCGAAGGCAGGGTGGGGGGTTGCGCACGCGGACGCCCGGGGGGAACCTAACTCGAGAAATTTGTGGCTATGCCACCAGAGCTTTCGGACAAATCAATAGAATTGGAGAGCTGATAAATGCTTGAATGGCCTACCTGCACACTGAGCGCGAAAGTAACTCGGACCCTGGGGCCTCCCTCGGCGTTGATTTCGCTGCCCTCCTGAGGGCCCAAGCTTCCCCCGACCAGGTGCTGGCCGCTCGCTGCAATGCTGGGCGCTTCTGGCGCGAGGTAGCCGCGAATCTCGAAGTTGGTGGATGGTTGTCTCTCCACGAAGTGAAGGCACATCGCGATGAAACCTCTGCTACGTCAGAGGCTGGGAAGCGGGACATCCTAGGGAACAAAGCAGCTGACTGGTTGGCTGGTCAAGGAGCTCGTTCTCACGATTTCGACACCGCGTTTTCCGATACTGTATCTTCCACGTTTAATCAGTACCGCGAGCAGTTCTTAGGGGATGGGGGAAGTCCTTGCCCTACGGCCCCCCCACCTGCTGATCTGTTCGGAGCGCTGGATAAAGGATTTGTGAGACCCCGTCCTGGTAGGCCTGCCACGTCACCACACATCCTTACTGGCACATCGATCATTGGAGATGCAGCGTGTACTTAAGAACTGTTTCACCGCCCACAAATTCCCCCTGTCTGGGACTGAACCAGTCGTTCCTAGAAGTGTTCCAGGAACCTGGTCACTTCGGGCATTCGTTCCAGTTTGGCTTCGTTGCCGGGTCGGGGATCCCTGTGGTTTTCTGTGCCCGTTGTGGTTGTTTCGGGACCCAAAAACCTTTGAGGCTGAGGTCAAATTGTGAGCCTGGAGAGTCGAAGGAGAAACGTGCCTTATTAGGTGGCAAACTTCCTTCGACGAAATGTCGGATCCACTCTTTTCAGCCTGTCCAAGGATCGCTGTTAACGTTTGTTTCCCGACACTACTTATAAGCTGGGTTAGTGCCCACGGCAGTGTTGCGCAATGTGTGACTCTGCCTCTAGTGCCAAAGTTACCCATCGGAGGGGAGGAGGAGGAGGCGGAGGAGGAGGCGGAGGAGGAGGAGGAGGACCATCGTAAACCTAAGAGTCATCAGCGATGTAGGAATTACCCCGCTCTCCAAACTCCTTCTTCATAGGCCCTTACAACGGTTGAACTGCCTCGTTGGAAGACAACCGTTTGAATACCCTGCAGCATGCCAAAACATTGTTCTCGGGATTCCAACGCCACGGATCAACCTGACTATTGCGTGTTGACGATCCTGAATCGCGCAAGAACGCCATTCCTGAGACTTCAACACAGCGAATCAACGTACCTGTTGTGCCTGCGTAATCCTGAGCCCTTTCACATACCATTTCTGATTTCTGGTACGTTGATGATGGGAATCCGTGAACCTCTTCCAACTGTCGTGAACGAATGTGCGCCGCGTGAAAGCGAGAGCCACATTTTGAAACGGAACCGCTTTTGATCCGTGAAACTCTTGGGAATGTTTGAAACGAACGTGCGCCGCGCTAAGGCGAGAGCCATACTTTGAAGACGGCCCGCCCTAAATCCGTGAAGCTCTTGCAAATGTTTGAAACGAGTGTGCGCCGCAAACGACCCGCCCTCAATCCGTGAAGCTACTGCAATTTGTTTAAACGAATGTGCGCCGCGCTGAGGCGAGAGCCACGTTTTGAAAACGATCCGCCCTCCATCTGTGAAACTGTTGTCAATTTTTCAAGCTTCAGAGTCGTAAATGGTGAGGAGGTCTCCAGCGAAACGCCAAGCCTGCCCTAAAAACGGGCCTCGGCGTGCGACAAGGAGAAACGATGTATAAGGAAAAGGACAGGAGGAGGAGGAGGAGGAGGAGGAGCAGGAGGAGGTACAGGAGGACGTGCAGAAGGAGGAGGAGGAGGAGGAAACGGCAAGAGGAGGACAAGGGGAAGGAGGTTGAGCAGGAAGAGGTGGAGCAGGAGGATGAGCAGCAGCAACAGCAGGAAGAGCCCCTTCCCCGCTCGCCGGAAGTCCACAAGGCTGCGTACATCAAACTCTTCCCCACCTCAATGCCAGGCGGCGCGCCCCCCAACCCCGTCCCCCCTCTGCGCTGGCGCCCTGGCCTTCGCTGCTCCTGCCGACACCGAGCGCGGCGGCCAGGAGGAACAATAGCATGGCCTCTCCGGGTGGGGGAGGCCCCCAGGCTCGAGGCTCGGGGGGAGCTCCTCCTCCTCCTCCTCCTCCTCCTCCTCCTCCTCCTCCTCCTCCTCCTCCTCCCAAGCCCATCTGGCCTCAGCTGGGGGGGTCCAGATCTGGGTCGTGTCGGGCGGTCGACCGATCGCGCGCGCGACCGCCCGCGATCAGGCCGCCCAGGAGGTCGGGCTCACGCGGGCCGCCGACGCCCAGGGGAGAGGCACCCCTTGCCTCGCCGCCTCCCCCTGGGCAGATTGGCGGCCGCGCGCAGCGCCGCCAGGCGCTGCCGCCCGCCGCAGCGCCGCAGCCGGCGCCCCGCGGCGGGCGACGACGGCCAAGGAGCTGGCCTGGCATCGGAGAGATCGACAGCGCAGGTCTGCAGCCAGGGTGCTGCTCAGAGTGATCGACGCCTCCAGCAGGCTCAAGCAGCACCACAGCTCACAGCAACACCAGCTGAACCAGCAGCACCACCAGCAGTACCAGCCCCACCACCCCCTCGACACCGAGACCATGGGGCGAGGAGGCTACCGAGGACAAGGAGGAGGCAAGAGCAACTACGCCACGAACAAAGGTAAAGGAAAAGGCAGCAGCAGTTCTTCCTCCCCGTCGTGGCCATGGACGACATGCAAGGGTTGCGGAGAATGGCACTACAACGACGACTGGAACAAATGGGGATGGACATGCAACTGCGGCTGCAAGATCAAGCAGCCCAAGTGGACCGACGACAAGGGCAAGGGCTCCGCCAAGGGGGTCGCGACCAGCAGCGGCAGATGGCCGACGCGCTCCGCGGCATCGCGAGCTCCCTTGCCAGCATGGGCATCACCACGGGGCCAGCGGCACAGTTGAAGGCAGTCGCAGACGGCATCGCGCCGCAGACTGAAGAGCCGACCCAGTCCAAGCCACGACAGCTTCGCAATGCAGCATCACGACTGGAGCGGGCCAACGAGAAGCACGAGAAGGCGTACGAGGAGGTTGCAGCAACTCGCAAGGCCCTGGCAGAGCAGCAGACGCGCCTCATGGAGTGCGCCAACGCGGTGATCGAAGCCGAGCAAGCAGTTGAGGAAATCACAGGCGTCAAGCAGCACGCCAAGGTCAAGGAGACGGCCGCGAAGGGCAACCTAGTGCAGACCATCCTTGACCTGGACTTGGAGGACATCGACAGCTTGGGGCTCGACTACGACCTCGACGACGACGACGGCGAAGAGTGCGACCCCGACGCGCGTGCCGCGGTCGCGGACGTCAAGCGCCAGCTTCTCCAGTCCTACAAGGACAACGCCGCCACATACATGCAGGGCCTACGACAACGCCTCCATCAAGCTCGAGACGCCACACGGAAGAACCGAGAGGAGATACGACAAGCTGCAAAGAAGCGCAAAGCGGAAGGCGGGGCTGCAGCGGCCCAGCCGCCTCAGTCAACGCCAGCACAAGACGCTCAGCAGCTGCCGCCAGCACCTGCAAAGCCAACCCCACGGACTGCCTCCAGCGCCAGCAAGACCAAGGACGAGCTCCTCGAGGAGGTGCGCGCCAAGGCCCACCAGGCCGAGGAGGCGCAGCCCGAGGGGCATCCTGAATAGGGGTTACGCAGCTCCTGTCGCCATGCCGACCTTAGTGGCGACGCGGAGCGCAACATTTTCGTCGGCAACTGCACGGAGCGGGGCACTAAGGTGAAGGAGTTTCTCGCAGAGGCAAGGAGCTCCAAGCGGTTTGACGCCTTCGCCATACAGGAGACTCACTTGCGTGCACACAGCATGATGGATGCAGAGAGGGATGTGATGAATATGGGCTACAACGCCTCCTTCTCGCCAGCACGCCAGTCCTCCAAGAGCGAGGGCGGCTCCAACGGAGGAACCTGCGTCGGCATCCTCTCCTACCACCAGAGTGAGTGCTTCCGCGAGCAGGAAGCGGAAGGCACAACATCAGCCACAACAGCGGGGTTACTAAACCTACCGCACGGCAGCCCACAGCACCACTTTCTGGACTGGGTACCTGTGTGCTGGCACCTGCGCGGCTTCAGCCTCATGGTGATCAGCGTGTACTTAGACCCCGCAGGCAGCCCACACGGTATCAACGCAATCAAGCTTACATCGTTGGCGGCGTTTCTGACGAGCTGCCGACGCCCATGGATCGCAGTGGGTGACTGGAACACTACGCCAAAACGGTTTTGGGCATCGGGCTGGCCGCAGGCTATGGGGGCAGTCATCGCCACCATCCCAGACGGCTACACCTGCTTCACCCACAACAACAAGAAGGGCACCACCTCGGCATCGCTCATCGACTACGCGCTGGTCAGCCACGACGCCCGCAAGTAATTCATAGGCCTGGAGAACACTGCGGCACCGTGGAAGACACACGTAGGGCAAACACTGAAGATACGAGGTGCCGCCAGACCAGTCACCATCAGACAACTGCAACTCCCAGCTCACTTCACACACCCACCTGCCCCTCCGAAGTCGCCCGACCCCAACAGCAAGCGACAGAAGGAGAAACAACGGAGGATCCAGGCAGATGACGGGATGCAACAGAGTCCCAACGGCCTGCGCCAGACGGTACCCGATGCACCCGACATCAACATCCAGTACTACACGGACCTCACCGCGGAGATGAACATGAGATGGTCGGGGCTCGGCAACTCAGCATCGAGACCGCCAGCACCGACATGTCACGACAACATGGACAACCAAGACCACGACCCCATGAACGACATCGACCAGGACTTTCACAACGTTATGGACATCAACCAGCCCTTCGACGAGCCGCCGCCCTGCGATTTCGAAGACCAGGGGGGCGACCAGGAGCTGGAGACAATACAGAGCGCACCTGAGAAGGCGGACAGGACGCCGTCTCAGGAGCCCTCCCTCCCAGGTACGAAGTCCGCGAACACCGCGGACACACGCGTTCTGGATGACTTGTGGCAGGTGGCGCGGTTGACTTCGAAGCCTCGTCCCGAGTACGAGCAGCCTCCTGACTACATCAGCCAAGGGGCGGCCTACATGGCTGACCCACGTGCGGCCAACACACTGGGGCAGGAATACGGCCAGTTCGTCAACACCTTGGAGACTTTCTACTGCGCCACCTACGCTATCCAGCCCCAGGACAGACACCGCTACGCAGGAAGAGGCAGGGCGAGGAAGATGACAACCTCGAGAGCCACGCCACGCACCAGGCGCACACATTACAGCAACCAGCAGTCCGATTGGTGGGGGCGGCTGGCCACCACGCTGCGAGCCTACCTCACATTGCGACAACGAAGACACGGCGTGAAGTAACAACACCAGCTGGAGGCCGCAACATGACAACTGGTTTATGAAGGTATCCCCACGGGTGGAGTCCGACTCGACCCAACGGCCAGACAGCACCGAGATTTGTGGGCCGACCGGTTACGAAGGCTCCACAGTATCGGACTGGACATACTACAAGGAATGGCGGACCAAGGCGAACACGAAGTCAAGAGGGCCCTGAAGCTCGACATGAGAGCCAGATCCCGCAACTTCATGATCTGGCTCGCCGACGCAACGAAGGCCACCACAGGCAAGCTACACAAGATAACCAAGCCACAACCACGACACGAAAACGAGTACGTACACGTCCGAGGCAAGGCATGCTGCCCGCGAACCATCATCGACGCCAAGACCAACGAGTTCAGAGAGCTCTGGCAGTACCCAACGCTCTCGCACCAGGACTCTGTCGCCATCATCACCGACGTAAAAGACAACGCCAGCTCAGCCCCAGTCACGAACTGGACCTTGGACGACTTGGACTACTCACTGCGATGCTCCCCCGGTAAGGGCAATGGCACCGACAAAATCACAAGCTCGGGCCTGCGACGACTCCCGCAGGCTGGGCACCAGCAGCTGGTGGATCTGTTCAACAGCCGCGAGCGCGAGCTCGCTCGGCCATGGCAGCTGCAGAGCACCATCATCATGCTGCAGCCAAAGACAGAAGGAGACAGGGCACTCGGGATACCACCACAGATATGCAGGGCTTGGGAGAAGCTCACGCGGCCAACGGTGGACACATGGATACGTGTTGCAGGTCGGCACTGGGACGCGGCCCTGGCAGGTAGCAGCTGCCCACGGGAGGCCGCAGCACGCATCCTGGGCGACGAGATCTGCGACACACTCCAGCTCGCGCATGCCACCACATTGGCGGACATCAGAAGGTTCTATGACACGCTGGACATCCTGCAGGTGGTGTATGCGACCAGGCACATGCGGTTCCCTCCACGGATACTGGCGCTAGAGCTGCAGCTCCACACCTTCGTGCGCTTCCTACGACAAGCCTCGACATGCGGGCAGCCAATCCTGCCCTCCCGATCCTTGGTGGCAGGATCCCGACACGCGAACAATCTCGCCAGAGCAGTCATGTACCAGGTACTACACCGCATGCACTACCAAGTCCCAGCGGTGAAGCCCAGGGCGTGGTTCGACGACGTGGAGCTCAGCGCGGCAGGAAGCAAGCAACGAGTCTCCGACACCATCATCCAAGCAACCACCACGTACGCACGATGCCTGAGCGAGCAAGGGCTCGAGATGGCTGACAATAGTGTAATCATCATCAACGACATGGACATGACGCACTCCATCTGCAAGCACGTGCGACAGCAAGGCATTCACATCGAGGCGGCGGCCACTGGCCGAGACTTCGGACAGGATCGGGCAGGGCGCGCGCCAACGAGCAGACCAACGCATGGCAAACGACGCCGACAAGCAACAGGACGCCTACGCAATATAGCGCTGAAGCTGCGGCGGCTACGAGCACAACGCAAGAGAGCCCTGATCACGCAGGGCCCCATGGCCTCCGACCTCTACGGATGCAGAGTGCACGGAGAAGCGCCGACAGCCATTACGACAGCAAGACGTCGGTGCGCCAGGGCGCTGGGGAAGCATTGGACGGGCAGATGCCTCCACACCTACCTCACCCTGGCGGACGCGGGCCCAGCTACAGCCATCCTCCGAGGAGTGATGGACACATGGTTCGACGTCTGGAGCCGACGCGGTCACCAACGCCAGGGAGCTCACCAGGCATGGCTAGTTATCTACCAGCGCCTCCACAACGTGCCCCCCATCTACCGATGGAAACAGAGGCGAGGCCTCACTGGAACGGCCATACTACCACTATGGGAGATCGGCTGGGATGCGGTATCTCCGACAAAGTGGATCGACAACCAGGGCAACCTATGGCAGATGGGAGACGACGACCACCGCGGGGGCCCTGCCGACGTGATTCACGCCACTCTGGAAGCACACCAACTCCAGCACTGGGCCAGGGCGGCCAATCATTGGCTTGGCAAAGGCTGCGAGTTTGGCATCGACACGTACGACCTCAGCAGGAAATTACGGAAGCTACGCATACAAGGGAAGCACCACGACGCAGGAATGTTGCAGGCAATTGCTTGCGCGGCGATGTGGACGCCAGAGCGCAAGCACCAGACTTTTGACAACACGGACAACAAATGCGAATGTGGATTGGTATGCGACGACCTACACAGAGTATGGGGCAACTGCGCAGCACGGGACGCAGACCACGAGGACTACGTGAATACCAACATGTTACGGGAACGAGCGATCGAGGGCAACCAACACGTGCCATGCTTCTGGTTGAGAGGGCTGGTACCGCGTGAGTGGACCACGCCGCCTGAATGCACGACCACCAGCCAACCAATAAGCTTCGGCGACGATGGCTGCACCGTCGACAACACAGACGACATCACAATCATCAGCACGGACGGAAGCGGCGGGGAGCATGCCAGCGACCCGCGATACAGACGATGTGGTTGGGGATGGGCCATATTGGCAAAAGGTGATGGAACATGGAGGGTACGGCAAGCACAGTACGGACCACTGCCAGGACGACGTCAAACCAACAACCGTGCAGAGTTGTGGGCCACTGCCCAGGCGCTGAGATCCACCAAGGGTAGAGTGCTCATCTGGACCGGCTCGGACGTGGCGATCCGAGGATGGCAGAGGGCACATTTCGTCAGAGCAGGAGCACCAAGAAGCAACAGGGACATCTGGGACGCCATGGAGAGCGCCCTACGACAGCGAAGCCCAGGGCATGAGCACCCATCCGAGCAGGTCGAACTGCGCCACATCAGCAGCCACGTGGAGGCCGAGGAGACGATCGCGTTGCACCTCGACGGGCAGGCCTGGCTCGGCAACGCAGTGGCTGATGCCTTGGCGGAGCGCGGCGCGGCGCAGCACGCGATCCCCAGAGCACAGATGCGCATGAATGAATGGGCGCGAGCGACGGCCTCGCTCGTGTGGAAACGACTCCTCCGCGCCCACCTAGATGCTGTCGCTCGAGATCCGTCGTCCCAGGAGGTACAGGAGGCTGCAGGAGCAAGAAGAACCAGAGCTCGGAGGATTAGTGAGTTGAGCCTGGCCCTCTCCTCCACCCCACATCGCCTCCACCCGTCCCGCAGTAGATGGCAATGTAGTTCGTGCAACGAGGCAATCAGCAGCAAGTCTGGTCTTACTACCATCAAAAGATGGCTTAGGATTTGCAAGCCCCAGCCCCCAGGGAACCCAAAGGCCCGAGGGGAAGTAGGCACTAGGCACTCTGTCCAGATAGGCCTGAGAGCTGTTCACTCATCGCACATCATGGAGTATGCCGAGCATGCCTCCATGTGGTGGTGCAAAGTCTGTGGCCGTCGAGCCAAATCGTCTGACGGGGGTAGTATCAAGGGGCTTTTCGACCCCTGTGGCCCCCCACTAAGAATGGGAAATACGTAATTTCTCGGTTGTCTCGGGGTAAATATATCCCGCACTAGAGCCCGTGTCCTGATCTTCTGGGGCCCACGGGACCTGTGCCGCTCTAGGGGCCCCAAGTGCTTCTGGGCTCCCGACGCGGCACCCGCTCAGGCGAAACTCGACTGCGTCGAAGCCGAATTCTCCCGAATTCTCCTCCTCCTCCTCCCACCGCCACCACCTCCTCCTCCGACTACCACCTTCTCCTCCTTCTCCCACCACCTCCTCCTACTTTCTCTCACCTCCTCCTCCTCCTCCTCCTCCCTCCCCCTCCCACCTCCATCTCCTCATGCCCCTCCTCCTCCTTCTCCTCCTCTTCCTCCTCCTCCTCCTCCTCCTCCTCCCTCCTCTTCCTCCACCTCCTCCTCCATCCCCTGCCTTAAGGCCTGAACCCCAAATTTTCAAATTCGGCAGGGTTTCCCGCGCGCCCTCTGGGCTCCCCCGCGGCTTCTATCATGGCTTGTCTGGGCCCAAGATGACCCCGAGACCAGCCCGCTGGCCACCCGGAAGGGCGCACAAGGCCTGGAAACGACCTCAACGTCCACAAACAAATCTTCGCGTCAATGTCTTTCCCGCTCCAAGATGGCCCTAGACGGCCTCCAAGACGGCTCAGATGGCCCGAGATGGCCTCCAAGTTCGCCCAAGATGGCCTCCAAGGCGGCCAAGGAGGGTCGAAGATGCCTCCAAGTCCGCCCAAGAAGCCTCCAAAACAGACCAAGAGGGCCCAAGAAGCCTCCAAGACGGCCCAAGAGGCCTGCAAGACGTCCTCCAGGAGGGCCCGAAGAGGCCAAAATCATTGATTTTCCATTGGTTCCCTACCTAGGCTCTGCCTAGAAGGTTCTTACTCGCTTGGCTTAAAGGGGCCTGGCAGTGCAAACCGCCCCGGGCTGTTCCCCCAGTCCCCTGGGAGACAAGCAAAAGCAACAGCAAAGGTAAAAGCAAACGCGCGGTTGGGCAAAAAGGCAAAAACAATGGCAAAAGCAAAGGCAAGAGCAAAAGCAAAGGCAATGCAAAACAAAAGCAAAACCAATGCGAAAGTGTAGATGTAGATGTAGATGTAGATGTAGATGTAGATGTAGATGTAGATGTAGATGTAGATGTAGATGTAGGTGTAGGTGTAGATCTGGATGTAGGTGTAGATGTAGATGTAGATGTAGATGTAGGTGTAGATGTAGGTGTAGATGTAGATGTAGATGTAGATGTGAGTCCCGCTGCTGATGTAGATGTAGATGTAGATGCAGGTGTAGATGTAGATGTAGCTGTAGGTGTAGATGTAGGTCTAGATGTAGATGTAGGTGTCGATGTAGATGTAGGTGTGGATATAGGTGTAGATGTAAATAACTCCCCAATGCCCCGCCCTCATCTCCGTGCCTGCTTGCTTCTGCTGCTGTCTCGGCGACTTGCCGCCTGCTTCTGCTGCTGCTTCACTTACGGCGTCGGGGCCCTCTTGAATTATTTGGGGAACCTCCTGGGCCGTCTCCGGTCTTTCCTTGGGAGCCTCTTCGGCCGTCTTGGAGCGATCTGAAGGGCCTCTGACGCCGTCCGGGACCGTGGGGAGGCGGAACATGCGAGAGCGCAAAGATGCGGAGCCCTTTGGAGGGACCTCTGGAGCCGCTCTTGGGGCGTTTTGGCGGCGTCGTCGGCCGTCCTGAGGCCATCTTCGGCGTGTCCGGGGCCTCTTAGGGCTGTCTTGGCAATATTGAGGACCCTCTTGGCGTGTCGTGGCGTGTTTGGGAGCGGGCCCGGGCAGTCCCGGGAGCCCTGGGGGCTGTTGAATGCTAGGTGTTGTCTTGGAGGCGGAGGCTGTTGAGTGCAGGGTGGCGCGTGCTACGCGGAAGGCGGGCGAGCGGCCGGGCGGGCGGCGGGCGGGCGAGTGGTGGGCGGGCGGGCGGGTCGGGATTTGAATGAATTCCTTAAGGGTGCTCTCTTGCAGCGGGAGCTTGTTGAGTACAGGGTGTTGCCTTGGAGGCGGGGGCTGTTGACTACAGGGTGTTGTCTTGGAGACTGAAGCTGTTGAGTACAGAGTGGTGCGTGCTACGCGGACGGTGGGCGGGCGGCGGGTGCCCTAGGTGGTGGGTCAGAGGCCTCATGGGTGTTGATTTGGATCTCGTGGTTGGCCTGTCGGGGATGTCGTGAAGGCAGTTTCGCAGCTTCTCGGTAGCCATTTTGAAACCGTTGTGGGACCTCCTCGGGACTGTTTTGTGGCCTCTTGAGGCCTTGTTTGGGTCTCCTGGGTGCCTCTCGGGGGCCTCTTGGGGCCTCTGGGGGGCTCCTTGGGGCCTCCTGGGGCACTCTTCAAGCGGGAGGGTCGAATTTGGGAGTCGTGGTCCCCCTCTTGGGCGCATCTTGGGGACGTCTTCGGGCTCTCTTGGGCG